CCCCCAGGTCCCCGCCCCGCTCCTCCGCCTGCGACTGCGCAGGCCCCCTCCCCGAGCCCTGCCAACCATGGTGAATTTGGGCCTGTCCCGGGTGGACGACGCCGTGGCTGCCAGGCACCCGGTGAGAAGGCCGGTCTGGGACGCGGGCCTCAGATCCCAGAAGCTGACCTCAGCGAGGCAGAGGGGCTGGGGCGTGGGGGTGCCCTTGTCAGGGAAGAGTGGCGGAGGCTGGGGACACTCTCTTGCTAGGGGGCTCAGGGCGTCCGGGTGGGCATAGGGGAGGTGGGACGTGTCCAAGCGCCCAGGGTCTCACTCCTCCACAACCAGGGTGTGCCCAGAGGAGGGACAGGAGAGGCGATGAAGGAAGAGGGCAGGGGACCGAGCCTTCACCCCCCGCTCTGCCACCCCAGGGACTCGGGGAGTATGCCGCATGCCAGTCACACGCCTTCATGAAGGGCGTTTTCACCTTCGTCACAGGTAGGCTGCGTCCAGGTGCCCTGCGGCTGGGAGAGAACGCACCCTCGTGCCCCGCCCTGGCTCCCCAGCAGGGGGCGCCAAGTCACCTGCCCGCAGGTGCTGGGGGCTTGGCCAGGTGGGTCCCGGCCAGCCCCGGGTACAGGCTGATGGAGACCTCGGCTCTTTGCAGGCACCGGCATGGCCTTTGGTTTGCAGATGTTCATTCAGAGGAAGTTTCCATACCCTTTGCAGTGGAGCCTACTAGTGGCCGTGGGTGGGTACTCCAGGGCCCCTGCCTGGTCTCTTTGAACGGTGGGTTTCTGCTAGCGTTGGGGCTGTGGTTCTGCGTTCCTGACTCTGACATGGACCCCCAGGTCTCCGCGGGAGCCCCACCTGAGCCCACCCACCCCGTCTGTCAGGAGGTAGCCTGTGCCCGCTTCTCTTATCCTGAGAAGCACAGAGGCCCCAGCCCCCTTCCATGTCCTGCTCCACAGTTGCAGGCTCTGTGGCCAGCTATGGGGTGACGAGAGTGGAGTCGAAGAAATGCAGCAACCTCTGGCTCTTCCTGGAGACCGGGCAGCTCCCCAAAGACATGAGCACAGGTGAGAGAGCCTGGGGGTCAGCAAGAAGTGAACGCCACAGCTCCAGCGCCCAGTGTTTTGGGCAGCCAAGCCTGGGTGCCCCACGTGATAGGCTAGACAGGGTCCCTCCCTCTGGTCCGGTCTCCTCAGCATGTGACTCCCAGATGGGTTGGAGCTGGGGGTGGGCGCCATAGACAGATCTTGGAGATCTCCCTTTGCAGGAGAAAGAACCAAGAGGGGCTGGAGTGCCCCTGAGATCGAGAGGAAGGGCGTGGACTGAGGGGTGTGGCAAGGCCACCGCAGCCACGTGGGCACCCAAGAGGAGTGAGGCTGGATTGAGAAGCCCTGCATTGGACCCAGGCCTGGCCCCCACTGCCTGTTGTCCTTGTTACAGAACCCAGTTTCTGCCATGATAAAATGGGCACAGTGACGCCACGCCACGACGGATATGGTTCAAGCTTGTCTCTCTCTGCCTCTTACAGATCGGCGAAGCCAGGAGAGCTCCGGCTGGGGCACAGAGGATTGGGGGCAGTAGGAGTCTGGAACACAGCCTTCATGCCCCCCGACCCCAGGCTGACCCTCCCCACACCCTAGGGTACCCCGGTCATATCCTCTGTCCGCATGCATGGCCAGGCCTGATAAACCTCTGCGGACGGCCGCTGCCCCAGCCTGGGACCTGCCCACAAAGTTGGAGCAGAAGGGGCTGTCCTCTAGCTGGTGGTTCTCCTCTAGGGTATCGGGACGGATGGTCTGCACTGCCAGCAGAGAGGGTGTGTCTGGGGGCCACCACCTAGGGGGCACGGGGTAGAAGGGGCTTGTGCACTCTGTCATTCCCTTTCTAGCCCCTGCACCTCCGACAAGTCCAAGGTGCTAGGACTTGTGCTAGCTGGTGCTAGGGGTGTGGGGTTAATAAATGGCTTATCCTTCTCTCCACCCAAGTTTCTACCTGAGCAGGTGAAAAACAAACCAGAAGGGTAAGATGATGACAGGTCACAGGACACCTTTATTACCCTACAGTTGATATATGAGGATCACACGCAAGTTACATACTGAGGATGTACAAGGAAGTTCCCAACGCCGAACCCCAGAATTAGATGTTCGCACCAGCTCTGTAGGCCGCGTGACACCACCACAGCCTCTCTGTGTGGGGGTCTACCTCTGCAGCACTTGGCATGTAGAGGCAGAGCAAAAGGGGCTAGGCTGCCCAGAGCCTGGCTGCTGGGAGAGGGGGAGCTTGTGGGTCACGCCCACCTGCCTGTCATTCCCCACTCGTCTGTTAGCCGAAGTCACTCCCCAGAGGCAGAGCTAGCCTGTTATAGCTGTGTCTGTGCAGAAAGAAAGCTTCTGGGTAGGCAAGTCTGCCCACAGCCCGGAGCCCCAAGAGGAAGAAGAGGTGGAGACCAGACAGAACCTCCACAAGTCCATCAGCGTTACAGCTGGCTTCCCCGCAGCACTGAAGGCCCACAGCATGGTCCCTGCTGCCCCAGACCCAGCTCAGCCCCCACGCCTCACCTTGCCAGGCACTGGAAAGGAAGTTTATTGAGTACCTACTTGGCCTTCAAAGTGACAGGAAGCTCAAGGTGACAGTGGCTTCAGCAAGATGGAGCTTTATTTTTCTGTTTTTTGTGTTGTTGTCGAGACAGAGTCTTGCTCTGTCGCCCAGGCTGGAGCGCAATGGTGCAATCTCAGCTCACTGCAACTTCCACCTCGCCGGTTCAAGCCATTCTCCTGCCTCAGCCTCCCAGGTAGCTGCAATTACAGGCGCCCACCACCACGCCTGGCTAATTTGTATTTATTTATTTATTTATTTATTTTTGAGATGGAGTTTTGCTCTTGTTGCCCAGGTTGGAGTGCAATGGTGCAATCTCAGTTCACCATACCCTCCGCCTCCCAGGTTCAAGCGATTCTCCTGTCTCAGCCTCCCCAGTAGCTGGGATTACAGGTATGCGCCGCCATGCCCAGCTAATGTTGTATTTTTATTTTGTATTTTTATCCATGTTGGTCAGGCTGGTCTCGAACTCCCAACCTCAGGTGATCCGCCCGCCTCAGCCGCCCAAAGTGCTGTGATTACAGGCGTGAGCCACCGCGCACCGCGCCCGGCTGAGCTTTATTTTTCTTTCATGTAAAAGTACAAGTGAGTGGTCCAGGGTTGACAGGGAATCAGGGACCAGGCTCATTTCAGTCTGTTCCCTGCTGTAGTGGCCTCTGTTCCCAAATCTGCCTCATGGCCCGAGGCGGCTGCACCAGCTCCGACCATTGTGTCTTTATCTCATTTAAGAGGGAAGAGAGAGGGCAGCTTGCCTGCCACTGCTGCTCTCGCTCTGTTGACCTGAACAAAGTCATCAGGTGCATCCAGTGCCAGGATGCTCAGGAAGGCAGAGTGCTCTGGGCAGCCATGCACCCACTAAAATTCAGGTGTTTTACATCTGAGGAAGGACAGCAGGTAGGCTCTGCCTCAGCTAGATTCCAAGCCTGGCCCCCAAGAAAAAGGGGGAGATGAGCAAACCACACCCTTAGCAGGACATCCCAGCACCCTGAGGGTAAGGCCTGGGTGGGAGGGAGAGGAGGCAGAACCTGGAGTTTTCCTGGACTGGCTTTCCAAAAACAGTGACCAGAAAGGGAAGGGATCTATATGACAGCACATGGGCGAAGGCCATTGTCGGGCTGGCTTGGGTCCCCTCACATTCCTGTTTTGGGGCCCTGACCCCCAGTACCTCTGCATGTCTGTGTTTGAGACAGGGGCTTTCCAGAGGTCATGAAGGTCAAATGAGGTCATTGGGGTGGGCCCTAATCCAACAGAACTTGTGTCCTCATAAGAAGAGGAAATTAGGACATAGACACACAAGAGGGACGGCCACGTGAGGACACAGAGAAGACAGCATCTGCAAGCCAAGGAGAGGGGCCTAAGGAGACACCAGCCCTGCTGACCCGTGATCTCAGCCCCCAGCCTCCAGGCTGCTGTTCACACCCCCTAGTAGGTGGCGCCTTGTTTTTTTGTTGTTGTTGTTTTGTTTTGTTTTGTTTTGAGATGGAGTCTTACTCTCTCATGCAGGCTGGAGTGCAGTGGCGTGATCTCAGCTTAACTGCAACCTCCACCTCCTGGGTTCCCAAGTAGCTGGGATTACAGGCACCTGCCACCACACTGGGCTAATTTTTGTATTTTTAGTAGAAGCGGGGTTTCACCATGTTGACCAGACTGGTCTCAAACTCCTGACCTCAGGTGACCCACCCGCCTCAGCCTCCCAAAGTGCTGGGATTACAGGTGTGAGCCACCGCATCTGGCCAGTGGCACCTTGTTATGGCTACCTGAGCTTACTAAGGCAAGGCTGGGAAGAAGTACCCTATCTTGTGCATACCCCACAGAGTTCCAGGCTGCCTGGTGCTCCAGGCACTCCCCTCTAAGGGAAGGGTGGAGGGGGTGCAGAGATGGAGAACTTACCCCTTCTGGAGTGACACATGAACCCAAGACCCAGTAATTCCCAAAGGAAAGTGGGGGTGAAGCAGTGTGGGCTCCAGGCAGCACAGAGAGGTCAGGGAGAGAAGTCAGAAGAGATAAGGCGGGGGTGTCCCCAGAGCCAGGTTACCCAGGGCATGCAGTTTGGACTTGGGGCTGGAGGTGGGGGGGTGCAGAGGGAGGTCCCGGAAGGCAGTTTCAGAACAGTTTTAGCAAGCTCATCCTGCTGCTTTGTGGAGGATGGCTTGGGGCATGGGAGGGGCCAGGGAGGAAACCCAGTGCAGGTGTGGGGTGCTGGTGCACATCCGCCCGGCAGAGCTCCTAAACCTCAAGCAGCTGCCAGGAGACCCGTTTCAATTAGGACACACGTCTGGAGGCCACCCCAAGGTGGCTGGGGGCAGAATGGGGCAGGGAGGCCCTGCAATTCCAGGGTTGCCCAGGCACTGGGAATCCTGGCTCTCATCATAATGGGCTGAGGTTCTGGGGACAAGCTGAGTGGCAGCTCTGAGCCAGCTGAGCCCAGGGAAGCTTTGAGGCACACAGGGTCCCTGGGGGGGCCTGAGGGCAGCCATGAGGAGGCACAGCGAGACAGACGTGGAGGAGCAGACCCAGGAGCTGAAGACCATCACTCGGCTCCAGGGTGAGCCTGCACCATGACCAGTCTCCCTTGCCCATCTGGGGGTTTCTGGGTGCACAACTTTTTGTGGGGAAAAGAAAGATCAGCTTGTTACTGTGTCTATGTAGAAAAGGACGACATAAGAAACTCCAGTTTGATCTCTACTAAGAAAAATTGTTCTGCTTTGAGATGCTGTTAATCTGTAACTTTAGCCCCAACCCTGTGCTCACAGAAACGTGTGCTGGATTGAAGCAAAGTTTAATGGATTTAGGGCTGTGCAGGGTATGCCTTGTTAACAATATGTTTGCAGGCAGTATGCTTGGTACAAGTCATTGCCATTCTCCATTCTCAATTAACCAGGGACACAGTGCACTGCAGAAAGCCACAAGGACCTCTGCCCAAGAAAGACTGGGTATTGGCCAAGGTTTCCCCCACTGAGACAGCCTGAGATATGGCCTTGTGGGAAAGGAAAGATCTTACCGTCCCCCAACCCGACAGCCATAAAGAGTCGGTACTGAGGAGGAGTGAACAGGGAGCACTCTTCGAAGTTGAGATAAGAGGAAGGCTTCTGTCTTCTGCTCATCCCTGGGAATGGAATGTCTCGGTGTAAAGCTGACCGTTCCCATTCGTTCTATTCTGAGATAGGAGGAAACTGCCCTGTGGCTAGAGGCGAGATATGCTGGCAGTAATACTGCTCTGTCACTCTTTGCTACACTGAGATGTTTGTGTAACGTGAAACATAAATCTGGCCTATGTGCATATCCAGGCACAGTACCTTTCCTTGAACTTATTCATGATACAGATTCCTTTGCTCACGTTTCCCTGCTGACCTTCTCCCCACCTGTTGCCCTGCTACACTCCCCTCACCAAGAGTAAAAATAATGATCAGAGAATACTGAGGGAACTCAGAGACCGGGGCTGGTGCAGGTCCTCACATGCTGAGTGTGCCAGTCCCCTGGGCCCACTCTTCTTTCTCTATATTTTGTCTCTGTGTCTCTTTTCTTTTCTTTTTTTGAGATGGAGTCTCGCTCTGTCGCCCAGGCTGCAGTGCAGTGGCGCGATCTCAGCTCACTGCAAGCTCCGCCTCC